GGGGGGGGGGGGGATGAATTACTTCTCTTCCCTGTGGAGTGAGGACGTTTCTCAGTAAAATTTCCCTTCTGCTAGTTTATGAGGTTGGGAACCTTATGAAATCTAAGCTGCTTCTACCTCTGCCACGCTGTTAGGTGGGCATTTGGGGAGTGTGGTGGAATTTACATAATCCACAGCAATTCTGAAAAGGCTCAGCCTCTATCACTCTGTCATGAGACGACTGAGTAGCAGCACCTGTGTGCCAAGGGCACTAACCTTGCCCAGAAGCAGCCCACCCTTACCCCGGCCTTGTTTTAGAAGACCTTACTGTGGCCGCCCTCTGGCCACACCTCTCTCCCATGGGCTGAGGAGTCCATAGGCCCAAGGGGACATGCCCCCTTTGTAGACTTGCTAGGGGTACCTAGGACTCCAGAATTTCCTGCCCAAACAGCTCTGAGCCCATTTCCAAGGTCAGCATGGATGCTTCTCCAAGTCTGTCCTCCTAAAAGTGACAGCACAGTGCACTTGCTCTTAGGCCTAGGGATGGCCAAAAGGAGACTGTTGGAGAGGGGAAGAGAGGACCCACACTTGGACACATACACAGGGTGTCTGTACATAGGGGTACTGGGCTTGTAGCTGAGTAAGACAGGACTAAGCGGTGGGGAGGGAGAGGCTGACGGCCAGATGAGTCCATATGTATTCTTGCCCTGGGCCTCACCACAGTAGGTCTGCAACCCTAGAAGTCTCAGGAATTCTGGGAGCCAGGGATCTGTTCAGTGTGTGCAGCCATGGGAGAGGCTGGCAGCACGACCAAGACAGAAATCCTCATGTAATTCCCAACTGTCCAGCTGAACCACTCCTTCCCAGAGAAAGTGGCTTCCTGGTCAACAAGAAGCAGTTCTCCACTCTGGCTTACCGATGCTTTGTAGTCCTCCTTACCACTTCACTATACTCTCACCTGACTAGAAAGTAGACAGGGGAAATACATTTGCAAAACTTTTGGTAAGAAGGTGCAGAAAATTATAGGCTAAAAGGGGGATAACTAGACATGCCTGGGTCATGAACCCCTTCTCAGTGCTCTGCTGGCCAGTAGGAATTGGTTACGTTGGAAGGGTGGATACATGGGGCAAAGCCCCGTCGTCCATGTAAGCAAGACCCACTGGTACAGAAGAAAGTTTAAGAGCTGTGATTCAGATGACCGGTGGTACTGACATCTGGTTTTGCTGTTGAAAATTGAAAATAACAACACTACTTTTTCACAGACCATTACAAAAATAATGAGATGATTAAAATGATAACTAACAACTATAAATCAGATCACAATTTACAAAGTTTCTTTTGCAAGCATTAACTCATTGAATCCTCACAAAGATAGTGACTATAAATACCCTCAGGTAAATTTACAGGTAAACAATACAATTTAGAGGGATCAAGTAACTTGCTCAAACTGACACAGAGCCACACTCAAATGCAGGCACTGAGGGCAAAAATGCTACTTCTCTTTCCAAGACTTAATTTTGCTCCCCTCACATCAATATTTGTGAACATGCTTTGTGAATGGCTCCTCTCCACACATATGATCGTATTTGATCATCTGGGATGCTTTCGAAGAAATGTGATTTTGAAAGCTCTCTGACAGGTGAGAGACTGGAAGCTGGAGACCTACAGGACAGAACCAACCCTTCCTTCCAAACTGAGCGCAGGTGTTGGGGGACAGGAAGGAGAAAGGTGAGGGTGTGCCCAGAGCACAGATGGCAAATACCACCTAAGACTGCGAGGCTCTTCACCACCTGGTGAAGACTTTCATGAACTATCTCCCCTTTCGAAAGGAAAAGGCTAGGAATCTACAGTATTTCACAGGCAGTAAAATGGTACTTGCCTGGCCCAAGCACCACTGTTCCTCAGAACAGGAAAAACAGTACCATGTGATAAACTTTTGAGTTGCAGATGTAATTTTCCAAGATCACAATGAAGAAAACAAAACAGAGGTAAAATAAAATGTAAATAATGATAATTACCTTGAGCGTATATGATAGCTCACTACCAACAAACTCAGGTACAGTGTATATACATATATGTGTGCGTGTATATAAAGTGTCACGTTTCCTTTCACAACATCCCTGCAGAAGCAGAAAAGGGAAAAGTAATTAGTAGACTATACAATTATACCCACAGGTTTCCTTCTACCTAGAAAACTTTAAGTCAGACTTACAGACCAGTGGTAGAACTTGGTGCTGGTTGAATTGGGCCAACCAATCAGCTTTGTTTGACCTGCATAGTGTTTTAAAACAACTCGAGTAAACATTTAAAATTAAAAAATCATAGCCCTAGCTGGTTTTGCTCAGTGGTTAGAGCATCAGCCAGTGGGCTAAAGAGTCACATTTTAAAAAGTAAAAAGAAACAAATTAATTTTAATAATATATTTTATTTAACCCAATATATCTACAATATCATTTTAACATGTGATCAATATAAAAATTATTAAATTTTGAATTCTTTCTCTACAGTAAATTTTCTAAATTTGCTGTGTGTTTTATACTTAGAGCATGTCTCCACTGGACTACCAAATTTCATGGACTCAATAAACACAAGGAGCTAGCAGCTACCATATTGACAGTGCAGATCTATAAGTTATACTGTTTTACCTGTTACAGCCACATTAACATTTAGAGCTATATAAGTTTTGAGGTTAAAATCAAGATTTATTGTTTTCCATATGACACTCAAATGTCCAACCTTTCCTTATAGTACTAATAGGGTCCAAATATGTGGAGATTTATTTCTGGAATCTCTAGTTCATTCTGTCAGTCTATTGTGCCTTTGGCTTTAGTAACTTTTTCAATTGATTTGAGAGAGAGCAAGGGAGTGAGAGAGAAAGAGAGAGGGGGAGAGAGAGAGACAAAGAGACAGAAAGAGAGAGAGATTTGTTGTTCCACTTATTGATGCATTCATTGGCTTGATTCTTGTATATGCCTGACTGGGCGGGGGGGGGCTGAAACCGCAACCTTGGCATATCGGACGATGCTCTAACCAACTGAGCCACCTGGCCAGGGCTTTGCTTTAGTATTTTTTTAAAGTTTGCTAATTGATTCTTATTTTCAGCCAGTATTGAAAACCACTATCAATGGATCACAAAATTAACTCATAGGTCATGACCAGAGATTTTCTAGAGTGGAATGGGACAGAAGAGAAAACATCAGTATATATCAAGTATTATTTTGTGAAACTTTTTTTCAGTTAGTGCCTGTGTGTGTGTGTGTGTGTGTATGCGTGCGTATTGGAAGTTGGGATCTAAAAAGTATTTCTTGCCACTGGTGACAGTCAAAAAAAGTTTGAAAACCACGGTAATAGTATAATCAGTAAAACAATTACTTAGGAAAATTCAACTTGCATATTATTTTACAGCCATTATCTAGAAATGCTCTGAAGCTTTACTCTTCCACAGCTGGATGTGGACCAGAATTCACATAAAGCAGATCCTGTTGGAAACAAGTCAGGGAAAGCCGGTTACAGGGAATGCAACAGAAGGAGCTCATTAGGAGACCCTGCACCTTTGACCCCCAGTGGAACATGATGATGAGCCCATGATGTGAACATCACAACTAAAAATCATTAATCTGCACAATTTGGGATTTGTTCAGCATCAGCATATTCTAAGTTTTTAAAGTTTAAATCAGATGTTAAACAAAAATCAAACTTGAGGGGAAGAAATCGAAGCAAATTTAGTTATTAAATGATATCAAGTAATCTTCATTATTGAAGAACATGTTCTCAGAATTTTTGTATGAATCTCAACATGTTTACTTTATTGTTCAGCCTGAGTCAGGATCAATCCAACCAACAGGTATATGTTGACTATCCACTAAAATACATAGGTCTGGCAAAGGAGCAAAATAAAAGAAATGGACCTTGTTTTCGCATACAGTATCTACAGAATATAAATGGGTTAAGGTGTGTGACTTTTTCTAAGTATTTCATTTGGGAACATGGAGATAGTAAATGAAAATGATTTTAAACCTCTTAATGTAATATCTCTTCAAATAACCTAAACATACACTCTAGGTTGAATTCTATCATTTTCCCTTTAATGAGAAATGTATTTGGTGATCATTTTACAATATATACAACTATCTAATTATTATGCAACATCCGAAATGAATATAATGTTATAAGTCAATTATATCTTGATTAAAAGAAATCTATTTCCATTTCTCCCTTTCCAGTGCTGGTGACCACATGTCACGTGTTTCAGAGGACACAGCTGCAGGATGGAAGAAGACAGCACAATCTACGGCAGGAGAAGAAATAAACCTTCGCTGCACACACACAAAAGTAGGTATCTTTTGGTTCTGTTTTATACGGCGCATGTGCACATGAATGTGTGTGCTCGCGCCTGTGATGTGTGTGTGTGTGCGCCAATCCCAAGCAGAGGTATTTGGAAATTTTGGTGGATATCTTAGTTTCCTGGTATTTCCTGAAGATATAATTCAGGAAACAATAAAAGGAAACTTTCCATTGAATTAGAACTTCTGTAAACCAAACATCAGCTATGTGTTAGGCCTCCAGTCTGTTCAGTTTACTCTCCTTAAGAACGTAGCACAAACCCCCTCCATAAACTCTCCAGTAACCAAGTGGGAAAAAATAAAGAAGGAATGGTAATGAAAATGAACCAAAACCTTTTAACTTTGTATTTGAGCAACATGTAAATACTTATAGTCTGAGAAATTTTAAATTCTCATACTTGGGAAAGATGAAATGTGTCTCAAAGTCAAATCTTTTTCTCACTAAAGCCATCATCTGTTTATTCACGGGTTTCTCAGACTTTAAGGTGAAATAATAATGAAATTTGGAAATAATTTTAGCTGTTTTAAAAGCACAGTGATTGCTGAAGTCTATTTACAATCAAACATCTGTCCACCATCAACAGAAAGCCAGTGGAGAATTTTGGCTGTCACAGTGTTGTACAAGGTCAAAGATTCTGAATCTCTTCATTCACTTGCCATTTGAGGTTTTATACCTAAGCCCTAATTAATTTTAATTGGGACTTTAGCTTAGTTTATGTTTTCATCATTTAAAATCCCTGCTAGCCCTAGTCAGTTTGTTTCAGTGGTTAGAGCGTCAACCTGTGGACTGAAGGGTCCCAGGTTCTATTTTGACTAAGGGCATGTACCTCGGTTACAGGCTTGACCCCCAGCCCTAATCAGGGAGAGAGTGGAAGGCAAGTGTCTCACACTGATGTTTCTCTCTCTCTGTCTCTCCCCCTTCCATTCTCTCTGAAAAGCAATGGAAAAAATATTCTCCAGGGAGGATTTAAAAAAAAAAATTCCTGCTACCAGACACAATCTTAAAGCAATATGTATAGTATGACCCATAAAATGATGATGTTGATTGTTGCATAGGGCTTGGGAAAATAAGTCCTGCTACTTTGGAGTGTCTTTCATGGTGCCAATTGTTTGGTCTGTCTAGGGCTGACACAAAGATTTCTTCAATCATTCTGGGTCCACCAAGTAAATGAAACAACAAATTTGGGCTGTGTGCCCGAGCCTGTTTGGCTCGGTGGTTGAAGCATTGGCCTGTGGACTGAAGGGGCCCAGGTTTGATTCCGACTGAGGGCACATGTCTTGGTTGCAGGCTCGATCCTGTGTGCGAAAGGCAACCAATCGATGCGTCTCTCTCACACCGATCTTTCTCTCTCTCACTCTCTCTCTCTCTCTCTCTCTCCCTTCCACTCTCTGAAAAGCAATGGAAAAAATATTCTTGGGTGAGGATTTAGAAAAAAAAACTGGGGTTGTGTAAGACCAATAAGGTCAGTGTAGGTGTCCCAGGAAAAGGAAGACACATTGTACTTGCTCCCAGCAGGAGCTTCCCTGGGCTCCTCCCCCATCTCTCCGTGAAGATCTGCACTTCACCAGGAGTCAAAGTTAGGGACAGGCTGTCAACACACTGCTCTTGATGCCAACTGGCCTACTTGATAAGCTTGACTCCAGGCTTTTAGCCAGTTAATAAGTCAATCATATGTGTCTCAAATCCATCTTTTTAAAGGTGTATTATCTCCAGTTAAATCTTTGTACTGTATCCCTAAAGTCACATTGAAGACGCCTTGGAACACCCAAGGCTGCTGTGTAGATGGGCTGCCTGCTGGGGCCCAAGGTAAATAAATGGTTGCCACGCTACACTCTCTGTTCCACGAGGTCTTAGAGCCAGACCCTCCTCTCATGTGTACCCTGCTGGCAACCCTTCTGCTATGACTTTGGGGACCCAGGAAAACTCAGATGACGTGTGTGTGTGTACACTGACTTATGACTCTGCAATAATTAGCATAAAAAGCTGACTTTTGAAGAAGAAGCATCTGATGTTTTTGCTTTTGTGCCCCATTTTTCTCCGCTTTGGGGACTCTTAGCATAGGATGTTCACTACCCTGATGCAGAGGCTGTATCAAAGTGGGCTCCGCTTCCCCATGAAGGATCTCAATAATCACAAGTGATTTTCAAAGAAAGTTAGTCACACTCTGATATAATAAAGCATCAACACATGAATAGAGAAGTGAATGCTGATGGAGAGTGTGCCGCTTCTCAGTCATTCAGGAGGTGCTTTGCATGCCTTGTCTTTCTGTTCCTTATAACAAACAACCCTGTGTGAGAGACCTTATCATAATCACCTTATAGATAAGGTGTGAAGAATTTCACAGACTTGCCTAGGTCACAGAATTAGTAAGCAGGAAGCAGGGATTCAAATCTAGATCTTTCTGCCTTTCTAGCCCATGTTCTGTCCAGCACACCATGCCTTCACCTGAACAGAACAAGCAGGTTATAGACTTACTTTTTGGTCTTTTGCCATGAGATACCAAGTTAGCATATTATTATGGCCTCCTTCACAGGATGAGGCCTCTGTGAAGGGCCGATGGAATGGGTTAGGAATGTGGAAGGCTCCGGTCATATGGATCTCTGGGTGCAGAAAAGCAGCAGAGTTCTGGCTTCCTCCCTTCCCTGCTATGCCTCGATAAATCTCACTCAGCCCAAACTTCCTCATCTGAAAACTGGATGAGTTTTATCTCATTGAATTAAATAGAAAAATGCATATATGCACAGCAATAACTCAATAAATGTAGATTAATGCTAACCCAGAATTATCTTCAAACTTATGTAAATTAATCTGATTGCTTTTAGGAAAGGAATATTTTTAATAGGAAGAGTCTACAATTATTATCTGTATGAACATATGCCTCTTTTCCCTTTAAAGAATTTGCTCCTTTGGCCAGGAATTCTATTGATGAAATTTTAAATGGAAACCTCGCTTTAAAAAAAAAAGGCATGTGAGGGGAGAGGAATGAAAAGGTGCTGTATGAAGTCTGAGCCCTCACTCGTGGTAGAGAAGGCACTTGAATATTATGGATTAATGAATAAATTAATATCCACCATCTGGTGAATCCCAAAGGTTTCTTTTTGTTGCTCTGTGTAAGGATGTTTAGGAAATAACATTGCTTAAAAAACATCCTTGCTAAACGTGTTCTTGGGATAGAAAAAATAAAGTTTTGTTTTGTTTCTCTCCACAAGGCTGGCAGTTTGAGAGCTAATCAGCTAATATCTTCTAGAGAAGGCACTGAAATTATTCCCTCAAGACAGAGCAGCTTAGAAAAGTTTACCACTGTGAGGTGAACGAAGAACCCTGCCTTGTTCCAAACTGAAGACGTTCTGGAATAGTCAGAAATGGCCTGTGCCACGCCACCTGGAAATCTGTGCTCATGGTTTCATTTCACTGAAAGTCAAGGCTTTCCTAACAAACCAAGCTGTGCTGGCTGGGCATCAGCTTCACGGGATTTCACTCTCCAGACAATTCTCCCTTCCCTTCGATGGATCAGTTTAAACTCTCTGAACAGTCTAAACTCTCTGAAGTAAAACTCGCAGAGCAAAGTGATTCAAATCCCTCTTTTCTGTCTCTCTCCCAGAATATAAGGCCAAAATGAGCATTCTGATCCCCCTTCTTTTTCTCTCTCAAACACACAAAACACACAGTCAAGGGCACCTTGGTTTGAAAGCTCTCAAATAGTAACTAACATCGACGAAATGGTGCCTACCTTTCTGAAACTTCAGTCCACAAAAGGTGCCCCCAGCCTGAGCAGTTGGAGCCGGACTGCCAGCGTTGCAGCCAGGTTCCTTCTCATCAGGGAGCAGCGCTCCTCATCTCTGCGTGAGCGCTGAAATTCTTTCAGAGACCCACCCTCCAAAGTTGCAAGTCAAGATTTCTGACTGAGGGCGATCAGTGACGTGAGGCAAAGCTACTGGATGGCACCTTCAGGTTCTTCCTGATGGGATGTCCTTTCCTGTTTCACCACTGGGAGAGGAGAATACTGGAATTCAGTCAGACACAGAATTACAATTAATTGCCCCATCGTTGTTGCGTCTCGGGGCACACAGATATTAGGCAACTACTGAACAGGATGGTCTTGCTGTCTGCATTGAAAGGAAGGGGTTATGTGGTGGAGAGAAACCTGAAACACTGTTGACAACGTGCTATCACTGGGCTGGTAGGACAGCCATAGTACTCTCAAGAAGTCTGTGAGTACTGGCAGGGCTTTGTGTTAACTAAACCACCGTTGCCACCCCCC